AGAGGGGGGGGGGGGGGGGAAACTCCAACAAAGCACAACAAGGAGTTGAAGAGGTCAGCGATGAGGTGCTACGCAAAGGGTTCCTCTGCCAACCAAACACGCCCAACACCGAAACGGTTAAAGGTGAAGTTTGAGATACAACGTTGAGGAAGTAAAAGCTCCTTTCATAAGGCTTAAACTACAGGATTTATGCTGACTGCCTTCTGTGGTCATCAGCCATTCTGCTGAGGAGGAGGAGGAGGAGGAATGATGGAGCAGCTTGGTGTGCACCTGGTGGCCAGCCAAGGTCAACCCACCATACTCTGCATTTTCATCCTCCCAAGGGTGTCCAAGGATCTGCTGGGAGTGAGTAGGTGGAAACTAGGAATTAAATGACTTACAGACTCATGGTCCTTAGATATATAGATTACACGTGGTTTCTTCTCTAGCACTTCCCTCCGTACATCCAGCTGGTCACAATATCCTTCTGGTCTACAGCTGCTGCCATAAAGTCACCACACTTCACCCCAGAGGCGGCTGCGTTTTAGCGCAAGAATGGATTTCCTCTTGATCTGGTCATTATTGATCACCTCGATAAGGTGCTCAGAAGTTGTTTTTTTTTTTTTGGGGGGGACAGAATAAGCACTCTGCAGGCACACATCGTTAACAGATGGTGTGTTACCAACGCATCGACACAGCACACCCTTTTTCTCTCTGGTTCCCTTCTTCCGCCTCGGATGTCACAGTCCAGGCGCTGCGAAATCCATATCAATTTCACAACAGTAAACACTAAACTGTGACATTACGGAATGACTCCAGCAAGAGGCAAAGGCCAATTACAAGAGACAACTATTTATACATAATTATCTTTCTAATCAACTGTGATAGAAAAAGAGCATGCAAGTGCAGACTCACATGCAAAATGTGATTTTTATCTCCTCCATTCTCAAAGTACAAAGACATAATTTTCTCTCCAGGATGTGTTTTTAGTGGAGGTTTCTATTTGACTTTCCAGCTCCAAAAAGAGACCCCAGATAAAATAGAAATTACTAATAATGTACCATCATAACTGAATCTACCCATTAAAACAAGGTTAAATAGATTGGCTTATACACTGAGGCATATCTAAACCTGTAAGGAGTGGCAACTGAGCATTTGCAAAACAGCCATCTATTTCTGATAGCACCCATATTCTCTTTACAGCTCCATTAGGACAGAAATAAAACCGAGTCTTCAATTTCAGTTTTGCTCTTCCACAGGTTTCGCTTCCAGCCCCCCCGGGCTCCAGCCCAGTCCTGCACTAACTCTGCCTCCACGTCGGGAGCGCGGTGGATATCAAAGTCCCACAAACCAGACCTGTTCTCCATAGAAATTAAAAACCCTCCATAGGTTTGCTAATGCCTACAGACCACCAATACACCTCAGACAAGTCTGACAGGTCGCTGCCCCTCTAGTTTTTCAATCAGGAGTCTGTGCGATGCTCCAGCCCCCCCCCCCCGTGACGATACACCAGTCGTTATTTACTATCCCTACCAAGTGACTTTATTTCCATCTTTAAATTTCTTCACACCAAAGGCGATTTTGCCGAGCCCCTGCTTGAAGACGTGGCTCTTCAAGCAAGTCTTGACACTCGTGTGTGTGTGTGTGTCCCTTTCCCCAGCGTGACATTACACCCCAGCAGTCACCTGCCTTGAACTTGGCATGCAGGACACACACGGCGTTTCATGGAGATATTCCCCTCCAATACTTGGAAACACAAAAGGAAAAAAATAAAAGGACCTCAAGTCAAATCCATCAGGGCAAAGAGATCTCAACGGCCAAAGAAAGGCTAAATCCCCCATCAAAATAAATCCCTAGGGCTGGGAAGCCCACCTGTTAAAATGCCTACCGGCGGCTCTTTTATTATTATTATTATTTTAAAAAAAACCAAACAACAACAAGAAGACAGAAACACAAGAGCTGTGCTTCTTCCCCGACATGAATCCAAATATTTCCCCCTTTTAAAATACCCTCTTTTCCCAAAGCAAACACACCCCGAGCGAACAAGTTACACGCCAGCGGCTCTCCCCTGCCCACGTACAATTAATTAGCTGCGTGGATTTTTTTTTTTAATAAAGCAACCTCTATTCGGCTTTTCTTTGCAATACGCAGTCAAGAGGAGGAAGAAAAAAAAAAACCAAAACCCACCCAAACCACAATAAATCCACAGGAGTTGAATACTAAGAAGGTCCGTTGCTGCTCAAGTGTCATTATTTTTTTTTTTTTTGCTTCGCTTCCCGATTTTACCTTTTCTCCCCCTTACAACCCCCCCCCGGCCCCCAAAAAGGAGGATTTACCACGAAACACGATCCAACTTTTATTTTGTAAAAAAAAAAAAAGGGGGGGGGGGGAATACATCCACCTTTTGGGGGATGGCTTGGGGGGGGTGCAACAGCACGTAACACATAAGGAAAAAAATAATAATTAAAAAAAAACACAAACAGAGGAAAGGGAGGGTAAAGGAAGAAGAAAAAAAACAAAACCAAAACGAGAAGGTGTGCAATGGTTTCGGGGAGTTGGAGCGGAGGATTGCGGAGTTAAATA